TATCAGCGGAAGGTAAAAGCAGCTGTAAGTGTAATTACTTGTCTCATTAGTGTGTAGTGCAGTTGTCGTTGCTAGGAAATGCTTGTTTTGTTTACTGTGAGGAGACGTGCTGATATCGCATTTGGTCTCGTTCTGTATCGCGTATCTTGTCAGTGTCTGCGCTTGCTTGGTCATTTGTTGTGAAGAAAATAAGGAAAGTGTGTCCTGCTGAATTAATTTAGTATTTTGTTAGACAGGTATAAAAAAGCTTAGTTTACCGCGACAGCGTTCACGGCAGCCGTCGCATGAATGCCTCCTCGTGTGAAGACCGAAGAGTGTAAAGACCATCGACTCTACCGTGTGACTCCACTGGGCAGGGACACCGGCAAAGGATAAGTATCACTTTTTATTTCTCCTCTTTCCTATTACTTGTTTCGCTTCTGTTTAGGTTTTTATAACCATTTCTTACTATGTGTAAGTAAGTTGTTGTTTTTTAGCATATGTGTTTGGCAGTGTTACTTTTTAGGATTACTGATAAACTACTGTCATTTGATTTGTATTATTTGTATTTGTTATTTATTTTAATTTTACATTATTTCTGAATTTATTATGTCTGTATAGGTCTTTTATTATGTTTTTAGTTTTATTTAATTTGAGTTATTTTAATACTTCAACAAACTAAATGGAAATGAAATAATATATATATTGTATTTATATATGTGTATGTATGTATATATATATATATATATGTATGTGTGTGTGGTTGTACATTATGCTCTTATACCTTTTGTTCTTTAATATTTTAAATTGTTTTTAGCTTTATTTTTTGTTTTTCATTTATATGTTAAGTTTTGAAATTTTGTTTTATGCATTTGTCATTTTTATTTAATCTCTTTATTTAAAAAATGTGTATAGGTAGTATTTATAAAGTTTTAGCTTTTAGTTTTGGATCTGTTTTTAGTTGTTTTAATACTGCAATTGATTGCTTCTGTTGTCCTCATTTGTAAGTCGCTTTGGATAAAAGCGTCTAATAAATGACTAAATAAATAAATGACTAAATAAATAGCTTGATCAGTCACATGAAAGTAATCAGAATCAATACCGAAATTTCGAAATATTTAAATTGAGTGTTAAATACCGTAAACAGAGACATGGTCTGAAAAACTGACAAATTCAGATTTATGTAGCTTTATTGGTATAGTAAATAGGTTTTACAAAGAATAGCACTATAATACTTTAGTGCTGAGCATTGTCACATATCATTTTGACTGTAATATTTAACATCAGCTCAATGGTGTATGCAGATTATATGATATATGAAATTTCAATGTAAAGCCAAACCAATCCAATAATGTTAACACCAACTCACAGTTCAGTATGAACATATGGGAGTCTAGCCTAATGGTACACAATTAATGAAGTACCATGTTTTAATTAAGTTGTTATATAAATGTATTTATTTTTAATGTATGTGTACATTAAAAGAACCATTCTGGCAGCGAGAATGATCCTGAACTAAATGAAGATTAATGTTTTGGCGTGTGATGTGTT